CCGTGGCATTTAGTTCCCATGCTCCTGGGGACCGTGGCATTTAGTTCCCATGCTCCTGGGGACCGTGGCATTTAGTTCCCATGCTCCTGGGGACCGTGGCCTTTAGTTCCCATGCTCCTGGGGACCGTGGTATTTAGCTCCTATGCTGCTGAGGACCGTGGCATTTAGTTCCCATGCTGCTGGAGACCGTGGCATTTAGTTCCCATGCTGCTGGGCACAGTGGCATTCAGCCATTTTTTGACGGGAAAGTGTTTTGCTATGCAGCATTTCTTCCTTCCTCTGTGTGATGAATCATCTCCCTGCTCTGGTTTTTGTTCCTCTTCTCTTCTTCTCTCATTCCTCCTCTTCACAATCTGAGTTGTCTTGCTGGTCAGCTGAATAATTCTTTTTCTAGAACCTGTTCAGCAGTCAAACATTCATAGCTGCAGTAGAGATGCTGTGAGTAACCTCTCCTCTCTGGTTTTTAGTTGAATCTGTGATTGGGATTTTAATGCAAGCGAAACTCTTGGGTTAAAATGACTCAAAGACAGTATTTGTACAGGTTACATGATGAATAAAGGAAAGAGTTTTCCAATTTCATGATCAATGAGGGGAAATTAATCAAATTTAAACAGTATTGGGGCAGAAGCAACACAAGGGCAAAACGTTCCTGCTGCAGCCAACATGTTTAAGAGACTTCCAGCAGATGGCGCCAAAGCACCAGGAATCTCCTCCTGTCAGCAGAGACACTGAGGCCCTGTCTCAATACTCACCCTACCTCCCTCTATGAAGTTCAGCTGTTATTAGTGCATCTAAGGGTTGGAGGCTGCATGGAGAAATGGGACGTTAGGAAACTCCTCTCATCTCAGCCGTGACGATAACAGACTAACTGCAGATTGCCTTTAAAGAAGGTGGTGGTTTGATTTTTTTAATGGACAATATAAGTCTCTATATGCTATAAAGTTATTTCTGGCTGTTTAAAATGTTTTTTTTTTGACTTGGTGAATATGGAGCACATTTTGATTCTGTTCAGATTTGCAAAGTCACTCATTTTTATGCTTGTTCATGGAACAGCAGCGTATTCCTCCTGTTGGTTCAATAAAGTCATGGCAGCAATGAACTCTGGGTAATATACTGTGTGCTTTACATAGAAGAATAGAGAGAGGAAGCACAGGGGCGGGGCAACATGGATGCACACTGGAACCCTCCGCAGTAATATAGCAGACACTGGTCTGACCTTTGACCTCTGATCGGTGACCTTCTGTCTTCTAAAATCCTTCAGCCCATGGATCTTTCAGCAGATGTTAAAAGAATGTATAAATGTTGATGTTTAATCTAAGGAACCGTCTGAGGTTCCTGCAGAACCACCTGCAGATGCTGCTCCATCAGCACTTCTTTACAAGCTTCCAGCTTTGGACGTCTTCAGACAGACATCATTCCATCATTGTTCCTCTTAAAGCAGCTCTTTTTCAGTCAGATCAGCATCGGTTAAAGACCTTGGAAAGGTTTACGGTTGGGTTCATGTCTGGACTTTGACTAGGCCGTTCTAACACATCGGTTCTTACTCTTCCTTCGTGCCCCCCACCCTGCTGACCAATGTTTGTGCTCCTCCCCCCTGCAGGTGGCGCAGTCCCAGAACAGAGTCTACCTGAACGCCGACAGCCTGGTTCTCAACCTGCAGGAAAAAGACAACTTCAAGTGAGTTCCATCTTTGTTAGCTGGGAGTGTGGGGTTCCTCATGGAGGTTCCTCATGGAGGTTCCTCATGGAGGTTCCTCCTGGAGGTTCCTCCTGGAGGTTCCTCCTGGAGGTTCCTCCTGGAGGTTCCTCCTGGAGGTTCCTCCTGGAGGTTCCTCCTGGAGGTTCCTGCTGGAGGTTCCTCCTGGGGGTTCCTCCTGGAGGTTCCTCCTGGAGGAACTTCGTACGCTGCACAACTGTTTCACTCTTTGTACTACAGCTCCAACTGTACGATGGAGCTGCAGGGTTTTAAAATTCACAGCTCATGATGTATTTGCAGTAGCTGCTGTTCTAAAAGGCCTTTCCCAGTCAAAGGCAGACGAATGGCAGCTGAATCCCCTCCAACTTCCAGCCGCCAGCCTTCTGCTGGGCGTGCATATGTTGTTACTCTGACTCCAGCCTTTCACTGAATTACAGCGTCTGACCAGGAGATGAAGCTTCTCTTCAGATTATAAAGTCCACAAATCATGACAGAAAGAACATTTAGATGTTTAATAAGGAATGTTAGGGACCAGCCAAGGGCCCATCAAGAAAAGTTGGAAAGCAACCAGGGTTGGTACTGGGCCAGCAAACGGGCCTGATCAGAACCCCGATAGAGAATCCATGGTTATAACGAGACGAAGCTGAGAGACGCCATAAGAACCACAGGCTGATGTCAGGAGTCCAGCTAAGAAAGGATCGGACCGTTCAGAACCAGAACCTCTCTCTGTTGGTCTGTGGTTTACTGGGACTCTGCATCGTCTGTGAGGAAGAAACTGATCAAAATCTGAGTTTAACGGGTCTATGAAGCCGGTTCTGATGCTGCTGAGGCTTTATTCTAGAACCCTCACTCATCCCATCACTGTCCTCCTGGATCAGAACTCCTGGATCCATCAGAATTAAGCAGCGGTTCTAGATCCATCAGCTGAGATAGAACAAGAACAGGTTCTGTTTAGACCTAGTTGGACTCTGGATGATGCTAACGCTGGTGTTCAGACTGATGGAGAAGCAGAAGCTTCTCAGGCCCAATATTCCTGCAGGGTTCTGGTCCTCCTGCAGCGGGTCGGTCCGGTTCCCACGGCCCAAACCGGCTCTCATCAGTACATCTAACGGTGCTGAGCCGCTGCTGTGTTTTCTTTCTCTTTCAGTTTGCTGTTTTCCAAGAAGTAAGACGTTTCCTCCTCATTGGTTCCGGTTCTTCATCCAGTTCTTCATTTGGCGGTCCCGTTTAGAACCCAGAGAGCAGATCCGGTGGATCCAGTCCTCTGGAGATGAGTGCAGTAGAACCTGAACCTTTTCCAGCCGTTGGTGTGGAGAAGCGGTTCCTCCGCTGTCTGGTTCTGGTGGAACTTCCCCTCCAGAAAAGAGGAACGTTGTCGGTTCTGTGTTCTGGTCAGTTCAGCAGCAGCTGCTCAGCTTTAGATGTCGACCATCGGCCACACGGCGCCGGAATGAGGGACGACTGGGTCGGTTCTGGAGCGAGATTCAGCAGAGCAGTGCTGGGGGGGGGGTCCACATGGACAGAGAACTCCTCACCCTGGAGCTGTTTATGATTTAACGGATCGTCTGGAACAGGAACTGGGCCGGTACCGTCTGCCAGGGTTCTGATCCAAACCCGGGACACTTTGCTTCAACAATCATTAACCAGAAGTTACAGATGAACTTTAAGTCTTAGTTTCATCCCATCAGCTCACCTGGATGTGTTTTCTTTGAATGAGAATATTTCATAAATTAAAGTGATCTAAAAACACGACCCTGAGGTTCCTCCATGTTCATCTGTGTTCTGAAACCGATCCGAACGCGGCAGGAAACTAATCCTGACCAGTCCAGACTCAAACCGGACCCAGGTCGGCCGTCCTAGTCCTTCCATCACCCCGATTCTGTTCCTGCTCTAGAATTTATCTGAATTAAAATATGCTGATCTTTAACTCACTCTCCAGTCATAGTTTACTGCCTTCTTTGGGTTCATGGTGGTTCTG